GACAGGTGACAGGATGGGGGAAATGGCCTCAAGTCGCATCAGGGTAAGTTTAGGTTGGATATCAGGAAAAACTTCTTTACAGAAAGGGTTGTTAAGCACTGGAATAGTCTCTCTAGGGAGGTGGTTGAGTCACCATCCCTGGATGTGTTTAAAAACCGTTTGAATGTGGTGCTCAGGGACATGATTTAGCAGAGGGTTGTTAGAGTTAGGGTAGAATGGTTAGGTTGGACTCGATGATCTTTTTTTGGTCTTTTCCAGCCTGAGCGATTCTGTGATCTATTATTTGAACTCCATCCCCAGCAGCTTCACACACAGTAAAAAACAATGGACTGAATTGAAAAGGCTTGCTTCACCTCCAACACACACATATACGCTCAAAAGATACTGAATCTGACATTTAGAAGATTTTCTATGCCTTATCATAAAGCAAAGTAAAAAAATACTAAAAAAGAAAAAAAAAGAAGCATGTTTCCCTTGTAACTCTCAGTAATTTCTACAATAAATGGCACTTCTGGAACAATTTCAAGAAATCAAAAAGTTCAAAGAAAGCAGATTCAGATACGTGTCCTGTCTCCAGCACAGCAAGCTTTATTGTATTATATTTCACTCAAATGCAATTTTGAAATAATAATAATAAATTACATTGGCCTTTGACTTGAAGTTATAGAAGTGAGTAGCATGACATGCTATTTATTCTTTTGAAACAGCATTCACAAAGTAAGAGTTGAACTGCATTTGTCTTCAGTGGGTAGTCTATAGATATCTGGATGCATTTAATTTTTGAAAAATCCAGCAAAATTTGAATCACTTAGACCACATCAGAAATAAGTCAGGTCTGTTATCTGACCCTTCGGCCAACTGATCCACATGATTAAACTTTCTTATCCTGCATTGAGGGTGATTGCATCCAGCAGGGTAAGTCCATGCAACATGCCTGGGTGCTGCCTACCAGCCAGCCTGGTGCTGGGCTGCAGGCAGGCTGGGATGATGCTGGCTGTGCCAACGGTTTGATAGTGGCGATGATCAGATGGCACTGTTTGGGTGCAAGCCCTGCAACTACCATCTGTGTGGAAAGGAGGAGGGCAGGCCCTCAACTTCTTTTTCATTTCCACTTGGACTAAAATATGCTTCTTTCCAAGAGCTACTTAAAATAAATGATCTCAGAATGTTAATGGTCATATTAAATCAGTTATGTTTACCTGCTTGTTATGTTACATAAAATTATTTACTCAGATACAAATATGCATTTTTAGTGTTCATGAATTTTTAATGTTTGATTTTCTCAATCTTTGAGCAACACGAACCAACAAAACAGGGGCTTACTTTGGTCAAAATATAAATGGAATTTAAATAGGAAATAATTCCTTTCAAAGATGCCTGATACAACTCAGAGGAGAAACATGCACACACAGCAACATTATGTTTAAGGTTAAGTGAAAACTTGTCCAGTTTCCATTTTAGCCTATTCAGTATAGTGATAAAAAAACTAGGCGCATTCTTATGAAACCCTCCTATTGAAGCAAAAGCAATATATTTATATTATATTTTTATTTTTTATTATTATTTATTTATTTATTATTTTTATTATATTATATATTTATATTATTAATATATTATATATTTATAGCAATGAAACTATCAGTATTCATATTGCAGGTTTACTGGTGCTCATCCAGATTTCAGTTCTGAGCTATCCTGTCCATTCAAGCAAAGGATTGAGACTAAAAGCCCCATTTTATTTCTGTGCTTCAGCTCCCTCCATCCTATAAGCAAGCTAAAAAGCAAGCTAATGCAGCTGACATCTTGAATTATGTAATTTCTCATAAGACACGCCAGTCACATTATTTAGTCCAGCTATACATGCAAGAAAGCTGTTCAAAACCTTCACTTTTGGCTCAGCAGTGAGATCAGCAGTACAAAGGGCACTCAGCATGCAAGGGGGATTACTGAACCATGTAGAAGGAGGGAGGAAGGCTCCATGACCATCACCCCTTGCTATGCCCTTCATAGCAATCTGACTGACTTTACAGGGACCTGCACTGACAGAGTGACAGGGAAGAACTGGGAGGAGATGGCTTTTGGTGAAATCCCAGGTTTTGGATCATTATTTCATCAATATTTCTGTGAAACAAGAAATTTTCTGTCTGCCTGCTTGCCCAAAGTACTGCATAATGTCAAGGGCTGTTGGAATTTGCAGGTTTTTGCAAGACAGACATTCAAGAATGAGAATAGTTGTGACATTTCTGTCTGAAGGTCACACAGGAAAAACTCTACATGGCAGGCTGGCAGATTCAAGGTACTGTCCATCAGTTTAAAGCAAAAATGGGGATTTAAAAGATACATGAGCAACAGGTCAGATTCTCATTTCTAGTGCAGCGTTTATGACAAATTGTCAGCAGATCCCGAGTAGTACTTCACAGTATCACAAAAACTATCCTTTTCCTACTGCAGTTAATGGTTTCTATGCCATTAAATCTTTGGGGGCCAGGAACATGCACTGCTGTCAACCTAACTACACTGTATCTGCATTGCACTGGGGTTTTAATCAACAATATTTTGAGCAGTTTTCCATGTACCTTCATCTGTGACAGCATGCCTACATCTCCAGTTCATCTGCAGCTGGATCCCATAATCCAGCTACTCACTGACAAATTACCCACTGATCTAGCAGATCCTTTGTCCCTGTCACCTCACGAAAGTTAAATCTGACAGGATAACCTGTATAACAATGCAGTATCTCTCTTACAAGGGGGGCAACTTTTAAAGCAGCATAAGGATTATTTTGTCAATAGTTGGCAAGCACATGATAAGGCAGAGGCAAGAAAGCAGAGTTAAGCTCTGACAGAAATTTGGCTTTCCCCTTTAGTCAACAGATGACATTGGTGCTCCCTGACACTTTGGGATCTAACTGGTGTAGTCCTGCCTGCTCTCCTCAGACTCAGTTGCTATGTCTGTACAAATACATTAACAATTACCACGCCTGTTCTCTAGCCTTGAAGCCAACTGGCACTGCCTGGCCATAATCCCATTGCTATACTCTTTTACCCTTCAAAATAGGATGGCTGCATCCAAACTGCCTTTTGGGAATGATCCTGGGCCCACACTACCACCCAGACCAAGTCCCAGCAGTGTCTGAGGAAGCGCTCATAGGCCCAAATGACAAACCCGAGGGAGACCTCTCTAAAACCAGGTCAGCCCGTGTGGTCAGATTTCAGTGCTCAGACCTCTGCTCTGGCACTGTTTAATTTACTAGCAGAAATACAGCTGGTCAATGTGTGAAAGCTGACTACCTCCCCTTTGCCCACTGCCTTCAGAACGGTCACTTTTGGCAAACCCTGGAATTTAGATCTCCCTTATTTATCCCTCTGACCCTTTGCAGGACCCACAGCTTTCACAATCATTTACAAGAAAACCCAAGACAGAGGAATTCACAAAATAAGCCTCTTCCATTGCTGAGAAATTATGGGCTCCTTACCCTGAACAACCTCTACTCACCCCCTGACGCATGACCACTCTCTTTGCTTCCCAGAGAAACCCTGACTAAACCAGTCACTATAGCCAGTGTGCCTCAACCTCAAAATCCAGCCCAGACACAACAACTAAGGATATAAATATATATATTTGAATGTTGATTCCAACCACTACCTTTAAGATCTTACATTTTGATGTTTGGAAATCAACCAGGTACAGGTCTGACAGCAGTATTTAGATAAAAAGCCAATGGTCCTACCATTGGAGCTGCTCTGCTAGCAAATCCTTCAGATGCACATTCAGATTTGGCTCAGTTGCCTAAACACAGGCCTTTTGCATTCTTTGTGATGCCACAAGTTGTTCTGAATGAATTTTATCAGAGCAGTCTCACTTCACAGTATCTCAGAAGTCTTACAGCATCTCATAGTACAAACACTGTTCTGTATGCATTTGAATAGAAGCTATAGAATTGCATAAGAAATTGTACAAAACCACTGTTCCCTTCAGTAGCAGAGGAAGCTGGTGCTTTTCTTCTATATTGCAAGCTAAATAATTCAATCTAATTAAGCTAAAAGTTTTTTGTTTGGCCTAAGGTTTCTGTTTTGTTTCATTTTATTTTATGAAAGGATGAGTCATTATGCTATACTGTGCATGGTATTATCAAGAGAACAATAAACAGCAATCAAAGGTTTCACTCTTCATTTCTTCTTTTTATGTATTTCTTCCAGGCAAAAAGATCAACTTTCTGAGCTGTGAGAAACACCCAGCTACATAAATAGAAGCACATTGCAAATGTGGCTACCACTTTCCAGTTGTGTTCTAAAGAAGAATTACAGTTTATTTAAAATGATACATTGAAAGGTTGAAGAGAATATAAACATTAACATACAACTGCATGTTTTCCTATAGTTTTTAAAATTGCATTAGTTATTTAATAGGTCATATTAAAGATGCAGTGAATGAAGAAAAAAACCACAGAACAATGCAAAACAAAACACCAACAATAAAACAATTAATAACAAAAAAGCAGTCAAACCAAAGCATCTACAAAGTGTTAAATGAGTATTGTACAATATATCTGACACATAAAGAAAGCACTGTACTGAAAAGATTTAAGGTACCAAACTTATCACAATCATTTGCTTCTTATTATAGCTCTTACAGCATACTGTATTTTCTATTTCAGAAAAAAAAAAACACCAAAAAATCCTGAAGAATTATGAAATTGTCCTCCTAAAAAGAAAAATTTTTAAAGATCTCATATGAAGATGGATATATTTCCTTCAGTAAATACAGTAAACTCTTTCTTAAGTAATACCTTCATTACACAAATGGAGGAAGACAGCAGTTTTTCATCCGCTAATCAAGAGAAACTGTAGCTAATTTAAAACTAAGTAAGACAAAGTTAGCTTTACCTACAGTATAATCTTTTCCTACGAAGAGCGATCACTATCAATGAGAGACAAAGAAAAATAATCTACTCATGGAAATTTTCAGGAAGGGTTATAACATGGTGTAGTAAAACTTACTTTTGATGATCTCCCAGTGGTCTTTGTCCAATGGATTTTAATAATGACTCGGGTCGAACTGCTAATTTTGGTGATGTCTTGGGGCTAGTATCAGAGTCTCCACTTTCTTCATCTCCCATAGCCTTAATATAGCTCCCGCTTCTCATTCTTCTGCAAGGAATCTCTTCATCTTTCCCACCGGCAGGGTATCCTCCCCATTCATCCTGAGGTACCTAATAGAGACCATCAAACACAAATGCAAAACGTGCATTGTTTTCATATACTTAAATACTTCTTTCCAGTTTCCATTTTATACAGAAAAGTCGTGATTTTTTTTTTTTTCTTCAGAAAAAAATCACTTAGAAAAAAATTTCTAAGGGTCACAAATGATTTGGGAACTTACTTTCAATATCAGGATGGGAAATTTTAATTTTATAAATGTTAGAACCTCAGAAACAATCAAGTCATTGCTTGAGAGCTTTGTTGCAAGGTCTACATGTACATATGCTGTAAATTACAGGAAATCTTGACCTCTTAAAAGTTTACATGCAGATTGGCAGCTGATAAACAGTTAGCTGATCGTATGTCAAAGACAGAAAACTCACTCACTGAGGTCTTTAAATTAAGCTAAGCCACGATTTATGCATAAATGGGCACTATTTTGATTAAGGACAAACTTCTGAAAAAGAAAAAAAAAAGCAAATGTGGGTTTTTGTTTTTGTTTTTTAATTTAGCAACTGCTAAATACTTCATAGAGACTGTAACATATCAGGAATGCAGCAAGTTACTAATAATACATCGAAGCTGGAGTTGCTTTCATACAGTTGGGGTGGTTTTCCAAAAAGTAAATATAGTGGTCAGAATATAGATGTGTCTATACTGCAAACTGTCAGAGAACTGAATAGGAGTAGTATTTTCAATTTCCAGTGAAACCAGCCTTGTTTAAAGACTTGCATATAAGCTCAGCAAGCATGGTTATGGGCTCACAGGTTACGGGCTGACCTGCTGGAAGGGAGCTCTGCAGAGAAGGACCTGGGTGTCCTGATGGACAACAGGTTGGCCATGAGCCAGCAGTGTGCCCTTGATGCCAAAAAGGCCAATGGGATCCTGGGGTGCATTGAAAAGAGTGTGGCCAAGAGGTCAAAGGAGGTGATCCTCCCCCTCTACCCTGCCCTGGTGAGGCCACATTTAGAATACTGTGAACAGTTCTGGGCTCCTCAGTTCAAGAAAGACAGGGAACTTCTAGAGAGAGTCCAGTGGAGTGCCACAAAGATGATGAGGGGTCTGAAGCATCTTTCATATGAGAAAAAGCTGAGAGATCTGGAACTGTTCTACCTGGAGATGACAATGCTGAGAGAGGATCTTATCAATGCTTATAAATATCTAAAGGTAAGTGAATGGGACTCTTCTCAGCAGTACCCAGATCAGTGACAAGGAACAATTGGCACAGTACAGAACAGAGGAAGGTCTGTGAATACATGAGGAATAACTTCTTCACTTTGAAGGTCACAGAGCAGTGGAACAAACTCATTGGAGGCTCCTTTTTTGGAGATGTTCAAAACCCACTCGGTCTCTTTCCTGTGCAACCTACTTTGAGGAATCTGTTTTAGCAGGGGGGTTGGACTCAATAATCTCCAGAGGTCTGTGATTTACTTAAACAATATAAGCAACTCACTGAAATCCATTATAATGATTTACAGTTAAAAAGAAAGATGCAGCAGAACACTTTGGTGGACCAGGGCTGATGCACTTGGCAACATCAAATCCTTTATAAGCATAATGACTTCCTATATATTACAAAGTAGAATGGCATTATTTACCAACACACTATAAATCAGAACTTCAAGTAAAACATGTATTAAGGAGTTTCTGCAAAGCAAGATGCCAAATAAAGACTTTCAAGTCAAATATTTTTCAGACCTAAAGACAGAGTTCACTGTGGAGCTCAGTAAATGTTCCCATTGATTTCTGCAGGATTGGAGTTCAGATTTAAAGAACTAACATGATCCCTTGTCATTTTTGCTGCCTTTCAAGATATATGAATCAGCCACACAACAGGTGAACTGGAGTAGTGCTTTGAGTCCCAAAAAGGGATTAGGGAGGAAATGAAATGAAAAAAGAGGGTGAACAAGTAAAGACAGAGATATTAAAGAAACAAGCACAGGAGAGAAAGAGATACTGATAATATGGTCAGTGAGAAAGATGAATCAGACCACAATGAGCAGAGAATGTTAGAGGGGAATATCAGAGAAATAAATTACGAGTCATATTCCTATATGAAGTAACAAGATGGAGCATGAATCTAAATGAATTATGGCTTAGATCGTACAAAGAAACAAAGCTTAAGTCTAAGATTCTGTGAAACCTTAATTATTATTCAGCTTTGGATGGTGGTTGGATGAATAGCATGAAAATTTCTGTCCAAACTTGAAACCTCTAAATGTGATACATCCTCTTCATTTCCTTTCTAAAACCTAACACTATAAGTATGTTGGAGGAAAGACTTTGGGGATTCTGTGAAAATTAAGAGGTATTTACGTGTAGTAGTACTTGCAGGAGTTAGTCCCCCAATATATTCAGTATAAATATTTTTAAGCATTATTATCCACAGCTGGCAGTACAGTTTAATGTAAAAATCAGAATTAAAAAATGATACTATGAAATATTAATGGATATCATATAAACAGGCTCTCACTGTTAAAAGCTCTCTATTACTTATACGTCAGCAAAGCTAAAAACAAGTTCCAAATCCTGAAAAAGGTTTTAATGGACATCCAGATAAACAAGGTATACAGATAAGGATAGGATAAGAATAAAGGAATAAATACAGGCTTAGTTGTGGTGCTTGAAAGTGAAAGCTTATTTTAAAAGAGAGGAATGACTGATTTTTCACATTAAAAAGCCTTATAAAAAACAAATATTAGAGTCACATGTCTTACTGTTATTGCTAATTACGTTTCTTATACTTTCTGAATTCGTAACTTAAATGAATTCCAAAGAAAGAACTGAAGAATCCCTACTCTATTTGTGCTTGTGATGCTGCACACACACACACACACACCATGAATCCCGTTATAACCATAATAAGCAGCTGACTATCACACAAACCTGTTATTGAAATAGAAGCATTACATACAATTAAAATAGGTATGCTTTTTTTTTTTGTTTTTTTTTGTTTTTTTTTTTTTTTTGTTTTTTTACTGTTGTGCCATACAAAGGAACAGAATCCAACAAGCACAGGAGTTCTGAAGCCTGGCAAGGAAGTTTCACTGCATGTTCTCTCAGATGTCATACCCAGCCTATGAAAACATCTGGAGTCCATCTGCTGTCTTCAGAAACAATTAAGGGCCATTGATATTGTTTGTCCTCACAGTGCAAGAAAAGAAGCAAAATCTGAGCCCCAGTTTGGCCAGCACTGGTTCATTAATGACTTTAACTGATGGGTTAAATATTCAGAAAAATCCAGGCAGTCTCAGGCTGCACCGTAGCTTTAAAGACAAGTAGTACTATAATAGTACAGGAAATAGTACAGGAAAGAGTTTTCTTTATACTGAAGTATTAACGACAATGTTTTACAGCAAATGTGAGGGTCATTATATGTGTATTTTCCAAAATATGAAAGTGCCTTACAGCATGCAGAAATACTTTCTTACAATGGTTACCAGCCCCTGAAATTCCCATCTGCAGGGTTTGCAGCTGCTAATTGGGAATAATTACCCTAATTATCTACTTGCATATAGCAATGAGTGCTGATATTTATAACGTTGAAAAAAAAAGTCTTCCTTCTGTTCTAGACGTTAACATGAATTCTTGTGTATGCAGTTTTTACCCACAGAGGAGTTAGACTGCATATTACCATGTGAATTTCCTTTTGTAAGAACAACGAGCTGACAAGGTCCAGATCTTTTCCTTTATTTTTGCCACTGGCTGCTGATTTCATTATAAATACTGCAGAAAATCATGAGTTTCTTACACCAATTAAATACATTGTTGCTACGAGGAGCAAAAGGATGTACAGAAAATGGATTTAATCATTCTGATTTTCATTCACTGCTTATCTTAGGTTTGTTACTGAGGTCCAGAATCTGGTACTTAAAACTTACCTTATTACATTTTATGTAGCAGATCCTAGAAGTGAACTCCAGAACCTTAGGTAGGAGCCCGAATTTGCCAGAAAAAGTGTCTTGGAGAATTAGCTTCTTTATAACAGTGTGCAAAAGGAATCAAAAGATCCCTTTAGTTAGTCAATCAGAAGTCAGAGTATGAAGAAAAATCTAAACTCTTTCCTCTTTATAGTGTTCATTGTATCCAGTTACAGGCAGCAGAAAGGTCCTTTTGTTGTTTCCCGTTTAGAACCCATCTTCTGAAAATTAAATTCAAACTTTTTTTCTTCCCGTAAAATGCTCAGAATTACTAGAAAAGGTTCAGTAGAAGAGGATTTTGTGTATAAGAAAGTGTGTTGCAGCAATCATGACCCAGGCAATTACCTTGTAAAAAGGGACCTAAGTTATAGTCCTGAGCCAAACGCTCACATGAACTTTATGCACAAGCATTACATTGTGGATAATTTGAAGAAAAAAAGAAATGCCCTAATTCTAAGCTGCCTTAGAAATGCCTTCTAAGCTGGGAACTGGGAAAATGTGGTTTGGAGCCCAAATCTCACAAGGTAGAAACAGAACAGAGATCTTAACACTGTGAATTTGAGTGTTCTAGAGTACAGTTTTTTACATTTCCCTGATCTAGAAGAAAAGCTTTCACCCTTTTGTTTTTTCTGAAGTCCTTTGTGTCGGTGTGTCTTACTTTTGCTTAGATTACATTGATCAGAACAGGGCTGAAGGAGGCTTGCCTTCAGACCCCTAATTGGGCTTCTGCAGTAGGTCTTCCCCAATTCTCAAATTGTGTACATTCTCTATATGTAAACAGAAGTACATCTATGCAGAAAACAAGAATGAATTCACCAAACTTCTGGAATCATGGAATTGCTGATGTTAGAAGGGTCCTCAGAGGTCTCCAATCCAGCCTCCTTGTCAAGGCAGTGTCAGGTACAGCACACAGTCCAGATGGGTTTTGCTAAGAATGGAGACTCCAAAATCTCTCCAGGCAACTTGTTCCCATGTTTAATCATGCTTATGGTAGAAAAATGTTTCCTTATATCTAACTATAGATGGGAAATCTAGGCTCCCATTCAGGTACTAGTGTTGGCAGTCAGAATACTCAACCTTGCATTTAAAAA